CCCCCCCCCCCCCGGATAACAACGCTAAGCTGAGAGAATATAAGGTCAACTTCCTTGATGATACTTCAGACTTTGTATCACCTGATGACTTTGACGGTGTGGAAGTTATTTTGGAACAGTCATAAATAAGAACTCAGTGCTGATTATTAAACACCAAGACGTGTGTCACGCAATAAGAAAACCATTGTTAATGTTATGCAAAACATGCCCTTAAGTATTTAGGTTAATTTACATTTTTTGGTACATATATTTTATGCATGTCATTTAATGCTCAGATTAGCAAAATAAAAACGTTCTTAATCGACTCTCAGCCTGAGGAATGTTCTTAATACGTTCTTAAAATTTTGGTTAATCTCAGCCTCAACACTCTTATAAAGAAGGGTTCTTATAAAAAAGCGTTTTATTCAGTATAAAGGAAGGCATAAAATAGATTGTGTGATGAATTTGTGAGCGTGCAATCACCCCCGTGATCCAATCTTAGCCATTGTTTGTGTACTTGGGTGTTCTGCTGCTTTACTCGATCTGATTATTCTGTGCAGTTCTACAGTGTCAGTATTATAAAGGTCTGCCTTGTTTGCATCGCAAGATTTTAAACATCACAGTGCCTTGTACATTTCAGTGACATTTACGTTATTGCAACAGGCCAACGATTTGAAATAAACATGTACAAGGTTAAAATAAATATTCAGATAAACGAACAGGAGCGACAGTATTCCAAAATAATATTAATTTAACGGTTAAATTTTCAGTTCTGACGTTCTACAGGTTTAAGGGCGGTTTTGATTCAGTAGCAGAAAAGCGTGACATATGTTTAACAATTGCTTTATACAGTCTGGTGTTCTTGGTGGACGAGAAATTAACGCCGGTAAGGTCGATTTTCCTCAAGTTACAGTCGAAACACTTAACATCGCTCTGTCGCTTTTAAGCCGTCTAGTTGTATCGATTACACTTGCCCGCGAGCTTTATTTCGCGAGAGGCTGCTAGATGCTGTCACCTGGATAGTAAGCAGAATAAGGACACTACTGCGTGTCCTTTAGGAGTCCGTTTTGAGTTCAATCAATGTGCTGATGAATTGACGTTTTGTAAGACAGCGGCGTTTCACAACAACGTCAGTAGCCATAGTAAACTAATATAATTAAAGCTTAAAACAATTGATATCTTACCAAAAATATGCCAGCCTACTATGTGTTCCATGAGAAAATAATTTCCCTGCTTTTTTGTTGATCTCATATGCTGAGGGCACGATTAGCGAGACTGCTACAAAATCACGTGATACTAGTGGCCACCAATGAAGGACACCCAAGCTCCTGGGTACAATCACGCGTCACGCAAATAGAAGTAAGTACATCGCGAATTCTGCTTTCTCAACCCTAAAAGCGTTTATTCAACCACAGAAATGCATTGAAGTACATTCCACACATTTCCCCACCGAAAATCACAATTATTGGCCAAAATAAAAGTTGTGACCCGTACGGGAGACCGGGAGATTCGATCTGTATCCAGGATCGATCGAGGCTCCTGGATCATCTGGGAGAACTGGCACCGTCTGTGAACAGGCTCCCGACGAGCGCGAAAAAAATAAAATAAGGCGAGCGAAGCGAGCTTAGCGGGGTGGGATTTTTCCCTTTCCTGGGCCTCGTTTCTCGAAAGCTCCGGAAACTCTTCGGGCCCGTAAAGCCATTTTTAGTTCATCTGTATCTAAAAACGGATGAGTGTACACGCCTGAAACTTCTTGTATGAAGAGAACCTCTTTCACATTAAGAATAGGTGAATAAAACAGCTCTGTAATCATAAGCTACGAGATTCTGCTATGGCTTTCCGGGTGAGAAAATTTTTCGGGACCTTGGAGAAACGGGCCCTAGACCACTCTCGGCTATATCCGCCCGCCTGTTTTTTTTTCCCCAGCAACACAATGTGTTGGCAGAAATCTTGTATACGAATTGAGAAGACTTCTACGTCCCCATCTATATGATCTCGGGTACCCGAGACAACCCTCCCCTCGAGTTACACTGGCAGAGCAGAGGTAACTTTTATTATAAGTTTATTGTTTTGCTGGTAGCTTAGTTGCTTAGTTGTTCTTTAGCCAATATCTGCTGAGTTGTATACATGTATATATGTGTTACTATACATTGAACTCGCGATCTCTTTTCTGATTGCCCGAAAGCGTACAGTGAATTTTCGAAATCAGCGCCCTGCCTCGACCTTGATTATTCTGGATATCACAACAACTAACCTCATCCAATAATTGTTTATAATCTGTATCTCTATAACTCTATTTAACAAATAGATTCCATGTTGCCGTGCGTCTGTTCAGTAATAGATCACAGATGACGTCAAAATGTGGTAAGAACAAAAAAGTGGCACACGAG